CGTACCTTCAAGGAAGCAATGTCTTCCTCAGAGGCACAATATTGGAAAGAAGCTGTCAATAGTGAAATAGAATCCATATTGAGCAACCATACTTGGGAATTGGTTGATCTTCCTCCAAGTAACAAAACATTGGGTTCTAAATGGATTTTCAAGAAGAAAATAAAAGACGATGGTACTATTGACAAATACAAGGCAAGACTTGTTGTCAAAGGATTTAGACAACGAGAAGGTCTTGACTATTTTGACACATACTCGCCGATAACAAGAATTACATCCATTCGGATGCTAATAGCGTTAGCCGCCTTGTATGGTCTTCAAATCCATCAAATGGATGTAAAAACAGCCTTCTTAAATGGTGATCTTGAGGAAGAAATTTACATGAACCAACCTGAAGGGTTTGTGGTTCCGGGAAAAGAAAAGAAGGTGTGTAGACTTGTTAAGTCTCTTTATGGACTAAAACAAGCACCCAACAATGGCATGCGAAATTTGACCAAACAATGTTGTCAAATGGTTTTAAGATTAATGAATGTGATAAATGTGTTTACATTAAGAACGTTCCAAATCATATAGTCATTGTTTGCTTATATGTTGATGATATGCTAATAATGAACAAAGACATTGCCGACATTCAAGCTACTAAACGCATGCTTGCTAGTAAGTTTGATATGAAAGACTTAGGAGTTGCCGATGTAATTCTAGGAATTAAAATCCAGAGGACTCCTCAAGGTCTAGCTTTGTCTCAATCACATTACGTGAAAATGGTACTTGAAAAATTCAAACATTTGGAATTTAGAAGTGCAAGAACTCCAATTGACTTAAATCATCATCTTATAAAGAATAAAGGTGAAAGTACGTCTCAATTGGAGTATGCTCGTGTGTTGGGAAGCTTAATGTACATCATGAACTGTACACGACCTGATATAGCTTGTGCGATAAGTAAACTTAGTCGATTCACAAGTAATCCCAACAAACATCACTGGGTAGCAATGAAACGAGTTCTGGGATATTTGGAATATACCCAAGACTACGCTTTGCACTACAATAAATATCCTGCGGTTATCGAAGGATATAGTGATGCAAATTGGATAACCGGCTCAACAGAAACAAAGTCCACAAGTGGATATGTTTTTACTGTTGGTGGAGGAGCAGTATCTTGGAAGTCTTCCAAACAAACGTGCATTGCTCGCTCTACAATGGAATCAGAGTTTATAGCTTTGGATAAAGCCGGTGAAGAAGCTGAATGGCTTCGAAATTTTTTAGAAGACATTCCGTTCTGGCCAAAACCTTTGGCTCCTATTTGCATACATTGCGATAGTGAGGCTGCAATAGGACGGGCAGGGAGCGTTATGTATAACGGAAAGTCTCGTCATATACGACGAAGACATAACACCGTTAGACAACTACTTTCTAGTGGAATTATCACTATTGATTATGTAAGATCAAAGGATAATGTGGCGGATCCGCTTACAAAAGGCTTAACTAGAGAGGGAGTTGAGAAATCATCTAAGGGAATGAGACTATGGCCGAGGACAAGTCAACATGGCGGTAACTCTACCTAGAATTTTGGATGTTCCGAGATCTAGGTTCAAGGAGCTCAAACAAAGTTGTGATTGACCGGTTCAACATTGTCAAAATAAAATCTTCGGTCCATTCTCGTAATGAAGACAATGTTCAGTAACAAGGATATAACTTTACACGTTCTTTAATGATTACCTAAGTTTGATGAGGTATTTATCAAATAGTGTCAATCTAAAGAATTACACGTTTAGGAATCACCTATGTAAGTGTGAAGTGGAAGCCGCTTCAATGAGAATTCTGTAAGGCCAATTCTCTACGCACTTATGAAACAAGGCGGTGTTCATGGCTAAAACGAACACAACAATGAGAACCAAAAGACGGTTAAGGGTTGGTTGTGTGACATATGGTTGTCTAGGTATACACTAAAGTTCGACGGTTCAAAGATATCAAATCTACCGATTGACCGAGTATATCCGACATATGTTCACTACGGAAAGTTCAAAGGGAAACCTACTTATCCAGATGTAATTAATCCTTACTTGCAAAATCACATAGCTTTCATCTATGATCTTTCTTGATACAGCCATTCCCATTCATGTGGGGGATTGTTGGACTTTAAGCCATTGGGCTTTAAAGTAGAAGAAGTGTGAATTGGAAATGGAGGGAAATTGAAAATTTGAAGAAGTGAACTTTTGTCTTGCACTTTGTCCCTCATTGGTGAGGGACAACCACATTTGTGTGCTTATATATAGAATCACTTCTTAAAGCTCTTAAAAGGAGTTGAAGAGAATGAACCGTCGTCGTCGCTCGCTCGGCTCGGCTTTGGCTTTGGCTTTGGCTTTGGCTTTGGATTTGGATTTGGATTTGGATTTGGATTTCTCAAATGATCGATCGATAAGATTATTTTTTGGACAAAATTTATTTAATTATTTAATAATTAATTAAATGCCAAATCACTGCTGAAAATACGCCAGAACCTTGCTGAAGGTTCAGAGGGCCTCTCTGGCCGCGGTTCTGCCGCGGCCGCGGTAGAACCGCGGCAGGCAGGTTCAGAAAGCCTCTCTGACCGCGGTTCTGCCGCGACCGCGGTTCTGCCGCGACCGCGGTAGAACCGCGACAGGCAGCGTATTCTTCTGAAAAGTCACCTTTTCCAGACACCTCTTCTGATAATTGCCTATAAATTCTGAGGCAAGGCTCCATTTTCTACGCACGAAAAACACTCCAGAACTTCTTTCTTTCTGAATATACTGCATTCTAATTCGCAGTCTCTCTCTCTCAAATTCGTAAGTGTGATTTTGCTCCATTCTTTAAGTTCGTTGGTATCCTGCAGTTTGTATTGCCACTGTTGCAGGAAGGTTTATTCCGTTTTATCTTGGGAGGATTTAATCCATTACCTTGGCAACGTGTGAGGGGGTTAAAATTCCTTAAGGACACACAAGCAAATTGTGGACTCGGAATATTTCTTAAACTCTTCTGTTTTTCTAGTTTCTTTTATTTTTCTAACAGTTTTTTGTGTTTTAACACAGTAGCGCGTACAATTAGGAGGATCTATAAAGTTTTCACACTTTCCCTCTAGTGTGACTCGAACCCATGACCTAACGGTGGTGCTTCTACCAACCTCACTTGTCCAAATGCAGGTTAAGTACTAAATTCAGAGCCAAGAAAAAGTAAATTATGGTTTACATGCTCTGGGCTTGGAATTCTATAAAATAATATGTGGTGCCAAAGCTGATGACATTAATGAAATATCTAGGTGTCTTGACTTGAAAGATCAGTAAAATGGAAACCTAGGCTGGTCCAACTTCAAATATTTAGGGTTTGTTTGGTTCACTTATTAGTTATGCGACGATTATAAAGCAAAATTATTTATGTAGTGATTAATCATAAATGAATTGTATAGGGTAATTAACAATGAAAGAATTGTTATACATAAGTTACTTACTTTAAAATGATATTTTTATCTTTTAATATTTAATTCCTTTGTTGCTGATATGCATATTCTTATTTCACATTCTATCTCCAATAAAATAGTGCATAAATTATTGCATTTCTTAATCTGACAATTATTTAATATACCAACCAAATATTGTATTAGTTATGCGGTAATTTATAATTATATTTTTCTTATACATCAAATCAAATATTATATTATTTTATTTGAGATTAGTTGGTTCAATACCACAAGTAAACCACCATGCATAATGTATAAACTTTATTGTTATAGTGACATATATCTACCACATTGTCAGCTGATGGATACCACATATATATGTCTGTCTCTCTTTGGTTGATAACAAGAAACTGAAAACAAATTATTGGAAAAGGCACCAAAAAGGAAGATGAAAAAGAAAACTTTATCCTAAAATTTCCACCTTTTTGGCATCTGTAAGGAATTACGGATAGATCCTTTTTCCTTTGAAAGAGAAAGGTACCTTGGCTCTTTTCTTCCACAAAAATTCTAGTCTATCTGCAAAAAATATGAGGGACCTGCCATGTCCTGTGTTATTCTTTTCTATAATAATAATGTTCAATATATAGTCAATTTTCTCTTTTTCCCCAGTAGCTGTTTTTGCATTTGTTGGACCCTCATACTCTACCTAACATAATGTTATCCTAAAAAATATCATAATTTGTGGCTGAAGTTCAAATACTTGGTAGTGATGACTATGGAAACGGATTTTGTTTTTGTGAGTCTTGTACACTTGTGTCAGCAGCAGCCAATAAATACTTATTCTAGCCGGATATTTATATCAAACTAAGAAATTTAAGCTTGACAGTTAAAAATTAAAGTGAGAATATATAACTTAAAAAGGGCAGCCTGATGCACAAAGCATCCCGTTTTCACACAGGATCTGGGAAGTGTCGCACCCCTAGGGGTGTGATATAAACAGCCTACCCTAATGCAAGCATTAATAGTTGCTTCCACAGTTCGAACCCGTGACCCATAGGTCACACGGAAACAACTTTACCGTTGCTCCAAGGCTCCCTTTCAGAACACTTATCACTTATCTATTGTTAAATAAAATGTTTGCATGAAAAACACGAATTCTTTATTAGTTTGATATAAAAAAAACCAGGTATGAATAAGTTTTCTGATGCAGCCTGTCAAGGAATGTGGGGGAAGTCTAGTAATTTGTAATTTTTGTGGAAATCCTTTGTTGAGAAATATGTTATTAACCTACCACTAACAAATTTCAGTGAAATTTGTATAAAGACTGAATTTTTTTCCTTTCTGAAGCACCTTTGATGCTCTTTACTGTCAATTTTAAGTACTGAAACTAACCATAATATAGGAGTTTGTAATATGTTCATGAATAGTTAATTTCCTTCAAGATAAGTGAATCATTACAAGAACTACGAAGACCATAATTACAAGGATAAACCTATCACAAATATAATGGAAATATCCACAATAAAACTATCAATATCAGAAGTCAGTTAAAACTTCATATATAATATCTCAAAGCAAAGAATATTCCAGATTTACCATTGCAGATTCTTCAGCTACATCTTATTTTCTCTGTGTATTAGAACTCTACAGGTTTATGTACAAAGTACAAATACTGCAAAACTATAAATGCTTATATTTTTGAACAACTAACTTATGTTGCTACCAAAAATTAGCTGCTGCACTAACATCAGTGACACTGTTTCTGCTTCCTTGCGAACGAGTTAACGCGAAATTGAGTCTCATTGTGTGCTCTCGCGGAAATTAAGCGATCTAGACAAGGCTGCTGGATTCGCTTGCAGGACGAAAGAAGCATCAGATTCACGGTTTCTATGATCAGCTTTTGTATTAAAGGCTTTGAGGAGTCTTGCCCCACGAACCGAATCAATCTTCTCATTCTTGATACCCAATGTTGACCATATAGAGCTTTTCGCCGCTTCCTTTGGATCATCAATCCTTAGTGTCTTAGGAATCAGTACACATCTCTCTCCTTCTCTTTCCCGAGGATGCTTTCCTAATGTCGGTGAACCAGGACCGGTGTTATGGACCGATTGATCAGAGGATAGCCACCGTACGTTCCAGGAGTTTGCTACGGTGCATCCCCAGTAGGCTGGTGCTGGATAGAATGATACTGGAAAGCCAGAATAAGGCCACGGAGCGCCTTGTAAGTACGGTACTTGAGGATGAAATGCCTGAAAATTTTTCCAATCATGTGTACTAGAATAGTTTTCTTTCTCAGTTAAAACTGAAGATGTACTACAAACTCCATTTGATTGATCATTCCCAGCCATGGAATCACAAAGGGGTTCATCTGATCCAAATGTTAGGACAATCCCGTTCGCCCTTAAAGCAGGAAGATGCATTCCATAATTTGAAGTGGAAGAACTTTTGTGCTTGCGACGGCCAGAACCAACAGGCACATTCCTCATTGTTCCACCAGCAGTCCAATATCTTTGGCAATTCTTGCAAAAATAACGAGGCTGGTTTACGTTGTAATTGTTATAATAACAGAACTTTGTTTCCATGCTATTACATCGCGGACATGGAACTAATTTGTCAGGCTTCTTTAGTGTCTTTTCCTGATCACTCGAATCTTCCTCCTCAACAGATTTTGGCGATAGTGTTTCTTTATCCGCATCATGTATCTTGAGTTCATCACTTAAACCGGATGATGTTTCTGGTTCAACCAACGAGTCTACAGTTGGATCGACAAGTTCATTATCTTGTTTGCTTTGTGTAAATTCTCCTTTTGAAGTGATCTGGTCAGATGAAAAGAAAACAAAAGGTTAATTTGAGCTCTCTCACAACAAATGAAAACTATTCGTCACCGATAAGATGATAAATTATTATCTTAGCACAAGCAATAAGGAATTAATCAAAATCCATTAACAGGCCATTAAAACTCTCAATATGTCACTGTAGAAATTTCTTTTTTCTAACCTTCATTTTATTTTTCCCTTTTGGTAAAGAAGAAGATCTAACAGTGAAATACTATGAGTTTTGCAGAAGCAGTCTAAGGGCTATTAAACAAAATTGGCTGGACTACCCTAGCAGGGGAAAATATACCACAACAACTACGTCTTGATCTTAAACAAGTTGCGGTCGGCTATATAAACTCTCACTGACCATGTTTCTCCGTTTAAATTCATCTCAGGCCAGCAGGGGAGCCCTAAATGAGATTTTCCTGAAGTTCAAAACCTCAGTCTGACTCCCAAATGGTACCAAACTAGCTCCCAAAACATAAAATTCCTAAATTCCAATAGACAAAATGATGAAAAAGCTAGTTTTACATTTCCATTTTAGTCTATGATATCAAGAAAGATTGACGACAACAACAACAACAAACCATCACACAAATAGGGTCTAGGGACGATAGTGTGTACTCAGACCTCGAGACTGTTTCTGGTAGACCCTCGGCACAATGAAAGAAGATATATCCATAAAGATTGAATTTTTTCCCCAAATAATAAACAGCAACATACTAAAAAAAGTGATCTCAATTGAGTCAATTCCATTTTCATTAAACTCATCATATATTTGTAAACAATATGGTGAAAGCAGACTCAAATATAAACTTTGTGACATATAGAAAAACTCAAAATCTTTTTACCTTATCTTCATTTGAAGCAGTTGAAGTTGAATATGACGAGCTTTTTCGATTCCATAGACCTCTTTCCTGTGTCAAACCAATCGTTTGACCAAACAGCTTAATCTCAGGGTCTCGAACTTCTGACATTCCAATTACTTAGAATTCTTCTCTGTTCTGTTTCTTGATATTGGTTTTTTATTTTGTGGTTTCTTCTAATAATTTGAAGGTTGAAAGATGGTAACAAATATTTATCTTCTTGTTTTGTTTCTTTGATGGTTGGTGTCTTATAGTTTGGACTTTGGACTACATACAGAGGAAAAAGAAAAGAAAAAGGGGTTTTAGAGTGGGGGGTGGGGGTGACACGTCAATAAAGGGAAAGGATTTAGAGCCACAAGTTTGTATGTGGCAATGAGGAAATCTTAATTTGCTTTGTTTGAGGGGGTAGAACGGTTTTGTTCTTTCCAAGTGTGTGTGGTTTGTTTGCTGTTTTTTTGATTCCGTACCGAACCAAAACAATAAAGTTGCCTTAAAATAAAAAGAAAAAAAGGTGAGTGCTTTTTGTACTATTTTTTCCCTTTCCTTTTTGTCCATGTCAGCAGCACTTTCCCAATTTGACGATGCCTTAATAGATATGCCCTAACCCTAATTCTGATTTATTTTGTCCTTCCCCACTCCCTAAATACAATTTGAGGCGAATTCGAAATTGAATATTATGAATTTTAGTTCGGGATTCTATCACAATAAATATATATAATTAGTTAGCGATTGAGAATATGAGGATTATTGGAGCAGTACAGGGAGAGAAAGAGAGACTTACACATAGTATTTATTGACCGGAAAAAGCATACGACAAAGTCCCTAAGGAGATTTTATGGAGATGCTTAGAGGCTAGAAGTATACATGTGGCATATATTAGGAAATTAAGAACATATAAATGGGGCCAAAACCCGAGTTAGAAAAGTGGGTGGAGAGTTTGAGCACATCCCGTCTTGATGGGGTCGCATCAAGGATCAGTCGTTAGCGCGTTTTTATTTGCTTTAGTGATGGATGTATTGACACAGCATATTTAAGGGGAGGTCCATAATTAATAAGTGTTATTTGCTGATGATATAGTAATTATTGACGAGACACGAAACGGGGTTGATACTAGGTTGGAGGTTACAGACAGACACTAGATTCTAAAGAGTTCGGGTTGAGCATGACTAAGATGGAATACATGGAGTGCAAGTTCAGTGACGTAACTCAGGAGGTAGATGTGGAAGTGAGAATTGATATGCAAGTCATTCCTAAGAAATGTAGTTTTAAATATCATGGGTCCATAATCCAAGGAAATAAAGAGATTATGATGATGTCTCACACCGTATTGGAGTGGTGTGGATGAAATAGAGGCGCACATCAATATTCTGTGTGATAAAAATGTGCCAGTAAGACTTAAAGGTAAGTTTTATAAAGTGGTTGTTCGACCTATCATGTTGTACGGGGCGAAGGTTTGGCTAGTTAAGAACCTTCAGCTTAGAAGATGCAAGTTGTAGAGATAAGCATGTAGAGATGGATGTGTGGGCATATAGAAGGGATATGATTAGGAACAAAGTTATTCGAGATAAGCTGGAGGTGGCTCCCATGGTTGACGATGGTTCAAGCATGTGAAAAGGAGATGCACAGATGCCCTAGTGAGCAGGTGTGAGAGATTGGCAATTGTGGGTCTAAGGAGAGATGGGGAAAGGCCGAAGAAGTATTGGGCGGAAGTGATTAAACAAGATATGGTGTGTCTTCAGCTTATCGAGGATATAACCCTAAATAGAAGGATTTGGAGTTCGAGGATTGGGGTAGAACGTTAGTAGGTTGCCGAATTTGGCACACCGTCTCTGCAAGCAACATCATTTTATTTTCGCAGTATTGTATCCTCTGACATCGATTAATACGTGTAGTTACTATTGCTTGGTTGTCCTATTGCTTTACTTTTTTTGTTGCTATTGTTACTGTACTTGTTTTCAGTAGTCTCAACATGACTTCTTAATTCACTTCTGTTTTTCTTTTTCTAATCTGTTGTTAATATGCTTTTCTTAAGTCTCCGGAAACAACCTATTTACCTCCACAGGGAAACAACCTATTTACCTCCACAGGGAAAGGATAAGGTGTGTATACACACTACCCTTTCAAGACCCCACTCTGTGAGAATACACCAGACATGTTAGTTGTTATTGTAAGTGCAAATTTGAGGATTGAGCGAGAGTTCAAATTCAAAGTAGACTTTTGTGAAAAGCGGATAAAAAAGTATTCCTCCACTCCTTTTACTTCTGATATATCCATTGAAAAAACTATTGTATTTGAGAGTATTAATCTGACTAAATTATTCTTATACAATAATAATATATCCAGTGTAATCTCATATAGTGATATTTAGGGAGGGAAATATGTACGCAGAGCTACTTTTGCGAGAGTAGAAAAGTTATTTTCAATAGATTCTCGGCTTCAGGAAAAATATTAGCATAACAATAACAAAAAAGGAATACGATAATGCAGAAGCCGTGAAATGAAAGAGTAAATTACTCTTATATCTTCCTTATATGAGTTTAATGATTGTATGCCTTTCTAGAATAGCAGGAGTTGTTTTCTTTCTTTATTTTATCAAATGACTAAAATTTTAGAATTAATTTTTCAGATAAAGTGTCAAATAAAATAATCAAAATAAATATGTTGTTGAAGCGATCAAGTCGATACTAAAAATTAGCTTCTTGTTCCATGTGAGTCGTCAATTTCTATTGATTAAGCCATCCATGTTAAAGACTTGTGTCCATCATAAACATAAACTTACTCCAGAAAATAAAAAGACATAAACTTAATGGAAAAAGTAGTTGAGTATATAACAGAATCATATACTAGCATATGATTTAATAGGATATTTGATAAAGAACTTAGAAAAGTTGCTTTATTTGTTTTGACACTTTGTCTGGCTAAAATGGTCGTACTAAGTCATGAAGAAAAAGCATTTGACAGTAACTCCTCAAATTTGTCCAAAAATTGATAGGTTGAAATTGAATTACTGAAAAACAAAAAAGAAACTGGACTACAGAAATAAACCATGATAATAGATGTTTGGACAATATTTGATTAAATTATAAAAAAGAAAGAGTATTTGAATTTTGAAATTTTAAAAGACTCCGTGTTGTATTTGGAATCCTATCATCAGTATTTCATATACAGAAGTTTAGTATTTTCGTATACTGATATTCATTTTTAAGTAGAATTTTAAAATATCAGGAACAAATAAAATATTCACAAGTACTGCTACATTTCAGTACTTATAATACTGAAATATTATTTAATTAGATGAAATATGTGGACTTTTCAATATGAGGGGCAGGCCAATCGACAATTACAGCACGTGATAGTGGGTTCACGTTAGGGTGTTCGTTGGTCGGTACGGTACGGTATTTAGATATTTCGGTTCGGTATTTTTGGTATTCGGTTTCGTAAAATACTATACCAATACCGTCCCTAATTAAATTTGGTAAGGTCCGATTTTTCTCCTTTTGGTTTCGGTTTATTCGGTTCGATAATTTCGGTTTATTCGGTTTAAATACTAACTAGTGCATAGAGTTATAGATGGAAATATTCTTAATTAATGTACTCAAAAGTACAAAATTAAAAACGTTTGTTGACAAAAATTTTGTCTAAAACCAACAAATACCAACCTATAGAGAGAAAACTTAGAGAAATATCTTGTTATTTGATTAGAGTTAATTGATGAACTTAGAAAATAAAGAAAAGTAAAATTTTAGATTTCTTATATTTATGTTATAATTAATAAAATGTGTATTGTGTAATATAATATATATTTCGGTACGGTATCAGTATTTTAGTATTTCATTTTAAAATACCAAATACCACTTAAACCAAATACCTTATCGAATATCAAAATATCAAATACTGAATACCAAATTTTTAATTTCAATATGATAATTCGATATTTACCAAATTATGCACACCCTAGCTCACGTGAAAAACCCAGCCAACAGAGAGGAACGCAGCTGCCACTTCAGCATTTCAGATAGAATGTTGTGGGACCCGGTCATCATAAAAGTAAAGTGAAAATCACTGACACGTGTAGCACAGACAACCATCTACCTTTGTTGTACCCGTTCTTCGAAGAATCTAATGTTTTTCGTGGCTGTCGTTTGCCCATCAGGCAGCTGTCTAGATATTTTATTTATTTTTCTTGGTTTACAGATAAGAATAGGGATCCTCGTATCTTTTTCTTTTATCCAGTGCTCGCTTTTCATTTTCTTAACTATTCTTTTTCCCCTTTGGAATTTTTTCCACTAGTCAGTCCCTTCTCCTTTTTTATTATCACGAAAAAGATGTCACTCCTTTGGTGCCTTTGTTAATTCTTCCACTTGCATATATAGAGTAGAATTAATACATGGAAGCAATTCCTACAACCCATCTTGATTATCTTAGAATTAATTCTTCCACTTGCTCATATGTTATATCTTCCTCTTACTTCATCTGGTTCAGTTTATCTGACATTATTTTCTTGTATTTAAAAAAAAATTCTCGATTTGAAAGAAGTTTAACTTATAAAAAAGTTTTTATTTTATCCCTAATGATAAGTTCTATATTCATATACATATTATTGCATGTTTAAAAATATTACAAATTTCAAAAGCTATAAATATATTATGACCAAAAATTTTAAAAGTATTTAATTTTCTTAACTTCGTATTCAATCAAATAAGTTCACATAGAATGAAACGGAAGTAGAAATAGTTAACTGGGAAGTTGAGAGGCAAAACTAATTAGTACTATTATTGTTAGGAAATTTTTTAAAATTGAAAGAAGTGATAATACAAGTTGAGACTTGATGATGCAGTAGGCCCTCAAGTTCTGACTTTCTACCGATAAATGCATTTCCCTTTCAATTTCTTATGTACTATGTCCAATATTAGTCTTGATATGTCTATCTGATGATGTTTGCTTTAATTTAACCGATTATATTTAGCTTTTAGGTTCACATCTTGGTTTAGAAATACTCTTTTTTAGCTACTCGTATTTGCTTAATTTGAGACATCTAATTTCTTCTTTCTCATTCTTCTGGTCCCTATCGTCTGTAACCATCAATGGAGCTTTTCTTTGTCCCTATATTTTTACCATTTTCCTTTCCTTTAACGGGAAAAAGGAAATAGATACGTGTGATATTTTACTTGGGCATTTGGCCACATCGGATGTGTATAAACATCACGCTCGTTATTTTCTTATACATCTTGAGGTATGCAATAGATACGTTGC